AAATGTCACCCCAAGATGCAGTGGGGAGCTGGGAGCCTTTTCTGCCTTAAGCGTGTGCTGGCAGTGTATCCTGAACTGCAGTGTCTCTTCGAGCAGGTGTGGGTAGCTCAGCAGGCTCATACTGACCCTATACTCGCGCATAGGTTTGGGATTGTTGCCAACTTGTCTAGGGTGTTTGAGGCTGTCGGGTGGAAATGGTCTGAGCCTCTCGCGGTGCACACGGACTGGGGCATGCGTGTTGAATTCTTGTCCGTTGACTTGGGCTTCTGGGAGCACGAAGTACGTAGGGCTGCCAGACGAATGATGTGGAATGCACTTGCTAAGGGGATTCCCAAACACGTCAAGTTGAGTCTTGGCATTGACACATGGGCTACGTTACGCCCTTCCAAAAGGGATACCTCCGAGCCGTCCTTGCTGGTGCCACTTTGTCGTGCCAGAGATTACGGGCTACCTCTGTCATTTGCTCACCGGCGTGCCCCCTTTGTGGGCAGGTTGAAACACGCTCCCGCATGTTGTGGACATGTCCTGCTAACGAAGATTTGCGCGCAAAGTACAGGATTTGTGAGGGTGGTGGTGATGTGGGTCAGTGCGTTGAGCAATGAAGTGCGATAGAGCGTTGCTTTGTTGCTCAGGTTGAGGATCCTGATCTCTTAGCCTGGCGGCTGTCTCTCGGCCAGCCGCAGGTCACTGCCGTGTCTGAGGCTGCTAAGCTTCGTGCCCGTGCCGGCATGCTTGGTGCTCCGGCTGCTGTTCCGTTTGAGCACACATGGTTTGCGGCCTGTCAGAGAGTCATTGCCTACACGGATGGCAGTTGCCTCAACGCAACGATGTTCCACACATTGCTCTTTCTGGTGCAGGTGTCTTTCTTCGTGACGAGCATCCCCTCAATGCTTCCTTCCTGCTCAGAGGTCCGTGCCACAGCAATCAATGGGCTGAGCTCGAGGCGGCGCTCTGTGCCATGTGTATGGTCGAGCACGATTTGCTAATCATAACGGACTCAATGTTTGTTGCCCAGGGTTTGCGCAAGCGTGCGCAAGTTTATTGATACCCCACCTGCCGGTCTGATACTGGCGTCCCACCCAGAGTGGAGAAAGGCCTCGCGTGGTGATGTCTGGCAGGCTATTTGGGTTCATTTGAGGGGTAGGCGTCGAGGGTCTGTTGAGGTTCGTCATGTTCATGCACACTTGTCTGGATCTGCAGTTGCGTCTGAATGCATCTCCGCTCGGGATCATAGGGGTAATGCGTGCGCGGATGCTCTGGCTACCGAGGCAGTCCACAAGCATTGCGTCCCTGCCGAATTGATTTCAGCCTATCTTCGTAGGTGCGATTTGACCAAATGTAGGCAACGCTTTGTCATTGAGGCTACCATTCGTAGAGCCAGATGCCTTGATGTACATGTTGAGGCGCGTAAGCCTGTCTTGCTGCAGGGGCAAGATACGTCAGACTTCCCATGCTGGTCCCCTATCCAACACGTTGAGAGCGATGTGCATGATGGGCTCCTTGTGCAGCGCATTGTGTCTGTTGCGCAGGCAAGGGGTGATGAGCAACAGCCTGGTGGTGAGCAGGTCAATACGCAACTAGTAACTAGCTGTGAATGTTGCTGACGGCCAGGACGAGGATTTAGTGGGCAACATGCTGCGTTTGACTAGGCCGTCTGCGCTGCCTAAAGGCCAACTGTAATTTCTGCCGCTGTCGGAGTCATTTGTGCGAGTTTTTCTGTGGAATCGTCGCTACCTTACGTCCGTTCTCAGCTACCTTGCGGCACTATCGTGGGATGTAGCCCACGCTGAGTCGACTTGCAGCTGGATTGAGCTTGCCCTTGATTTTGAGAGCTGTATGCGTGTCATGCTACCACCCCCAGGTGAGCTGTCCCCCAAGACTGACCAACTTGGGCTCAACACTGCCACCCTGGCCGCCAGAGGTAGCACCCTGCCTGCATGTACAGTGCCCTCAAGTGCCTGTTTGATCAGCAATCTCCTAACCACCCCAAAGTTTAGGAGCGCGAGTTTGTGTGGTCACTCACCAAGCTTGGATTCCCCAGATCTGCTGGAATTAGTCCAAGACCCGTTTTGCTTGCCCCTGCCCACGTGTACCAGGTGTTGGTTCAATGCAGTGAGCGTGCACGCCCAAAAGCTGCAGCTGGGACAACCAAACGTGCCCAAAACTGCTGGGTACTACCTCCGGATATGTGCAGCGAAGAGGTGGACCAGCCCTCATGTGGTAAGCACCTTCTGGATCCTGCCTATAGTTTTGCCGAGCAAGCGCATTGTTTGCTGTGTAAGGCCACTTTTCGGACTGTCGCTTATGGCAAAGCTTTGAAAGAATCCTGTTATAGGGCCAGTGAGCAAGGCTTTGCTAACATGTGGCGGCTGCTGTCCAGCAAGTCTCGCAGCGCAGTGCAGCTGCCAGCTACCCTCCGCATCCATATGTTCAGACTAATGTGCATAGTGGTGATGTCCCGCTGGTTGCCTTGATTTTTCTCCCAGGAGCTCCTCATCAGTTGCCTGTCCAAACACCCTATGATGGCATGAATCTTGATGAGTTCCTTGCTGCAACCCCTCAGCGTATGCCGCTTGTGCGTAGTTAGCTGTGGAAACTCCACCAACACAACATGCATGCCCCGAGGAGTAAAGGGCACCTGTTTGATGTTTGTCAAGTTGTCCAAGCTGGTCGTCGTGAGCAAGTTGCTTGCATTGTTTGTGATGTTTACAAAAAATAAAGGATCATAGGGAACGCTTATGCAACCAAGTGTGTCAACATGCTGCACAAGGCAGGTATGAGGCATCATGGGCTCGTGCACATCGCAGCCTCACTCTTGCTGTTGATAAACTGCGCCAGCCGGCGCCTGACTAATCCCCACGTGATCCTGCGTATCGCGGGGAAGCCTTCGATGTGTACGTGGACAAGTGGGCTGGTTAGGGTGGGTTGGGGCAAAGGGTCGTGGGTGGTTTGGTGAAGGTAGGTTGGGGGAGGGCAGGGTACGCTGCCCTACTCTACTGCCCTGGGGGAGCGGGTGTGCGAGAGGTTAGGGTAGGGTAGGGTATGGGGTGGCAAGCTAGGACTGCTTTGTCTGCTTTTTCTGCGTTCCTGTTACAAAGCACCTTATTCGTGCACAGTGCGGAGGGGGGTGCGTGCCGGGACGGTGTAGGCGGGAGGCGTGCGAGAGGGTAGGGTAGGAAGGTCTCTTTTTTCTGCGTTGGGAGGGTGGGGCCACAGCAGGGCGTGCGAGACGCGGGGTCGTGTGAGGTGGGGGCTGGGGAGGGTGCGGGGGTGGGCGTACGAAAGACGGTAGGGTTGGGTGGGGCTTGTAAGGCGCCTTATTCGCGCGCAAGAAGATCAACCGGGTTGCGCATAAGGCGCCGTATAAAGAGGCACGCAAAAAACAAAAAAAAACCTTCGCCGTATCTTCCCCTCCCCTGCCCTACACTGCCCTGTTCTACTGCCCTGCCAAACCTGACCCTATCCTACCTTCTTGCACGCCCCCCCCCCCAGTACCCACCCCGGCGCGCCCTGCCTTATTTTTCGTATGGCTTTCGGAACACGCCTCCATGGCTTCCAAAACGTGCCTCCACGGTTTCCGAAACGCGCTGGCATGGTTGCCGAAGCGCTCCTCATGGTTTCCGAACCGCGCATCCATGGTTTCCGAAACGCGCTGGCATGGTTCCCGGAACGCGTTTCCATGGTTTCCGAAACGCGCTGGCATGGTTCCCAAAACGCGCCTCCATGGTTCCCGAAACGTGCTCCATGGTTCCCGAAACGCGCTTCCATGGTTTCCAAAACGCTGCCATGGTTCCTGAATCATGGTTCCCGAAATGACTTGCGCCCGAAGCGGGGGGATAACAGACATCATACTAGTATTTTGTTGCATCTTGAAGACGAATAGGGATCGTTTGCAGACGTGAATGGCTTGCTACGTGATGCAAATACTGGGTGAAGATTTTGAGCATGCCAGGCTTGAGGGCATTGGTACGTATTCTGTATATCAGCACTTGTAAGTAAGCAAAATCTTTTAAAGGTCAGATCGATGGTGGTTGCTTGTCAAGTTGAGAGTTGCAAGCCATACCGAAACCGATTTGTCCCCGGTACCGGTAGTGAACATGCTTGGGTGCTGCAACCGAGATGGTTGCTTTTTGACCAGGCTGTCCACCTATGTGCAGAAGTTGCAGGGTGCCGGTCTTCGCGGTCCTGTGCAAGTTTCCTATGCCCATGCCTGCTTCAGCCTGGGGCACGGCATTCTGCTTTGGCTGCCTCGGTAACGTCCAGGCAACTTGAACTCGTCCTTGCTGCATGATGCGAGGCTCACTGGCAGCGTTGGCCTACATGATGCAACGCGCATGCAAGTGAGCAGGTTCTACAACCATTCCACAATGTGCCTAGTGCATTTTTGATATGCATTTCTGCTAAGAAGTGGCGGCCTCTGCAGTGGGGCACGGTCAGTCAAAAAACGGACATTATTAGGCGACCTCGTTGGTGCAGTAGCAAGTCTCAAAGCATTCAGGTCCATCGCGTCGCTCAACAACTTGCTAGGCTGGACTTCAGCATCGTGCCTTGGCTGAGCAGCAGGTAGCACTTGTGCTCTGGTGGAAATGAGTGGTGTGCTGGAGCAGTATGACAAGTGGGGCAAGCAAAGACCACGGGCCTTGTGCAGGTTGGTTGGACCTGCAGCTGCAGCTGTGTCAGTTTTCAGTGACTGGCGAGGCACCTGTGAAACTTGTGAAGAGAGAGGGTTCTCTCTCTAATTCTCGAATTTGTCCCAGCAGGTGCCAGCTCGCAGCCTTGGCCTTGCCTCGTGGGCTCCATGCTGGGCGCTGCTGCCGGGACCTTCCTGAAACAGGCCAAGGATGCTTAAAGAGGACTGCCGAGGTCAAGGAATGCCTGGTACAGGCCGTTCCCGCTGGTCCCCTTTTGGATGATGCTGCGCACTGGCCACTGGGCACTAGCTTTGTGAAGCTTTATTCGCTGCGGCCGGCGTTGTCGTATGTCAATGTGCAAGGAACTGGATGCCGGCTGCACTCGCTGTGGCCTTTGCTGCAGCACTCCAAGAGCTCAGCTATGCTAAGTTCCCAGCAGGCGGCACATGCTTTTACAAGTTGGAGTGCCTGTGCCTGATGGCTGCTATGTGGTCGAGTGCACGTAACAGGTGGCTCCATTGCCTTAAGTGTCATCGCGGCGAGCTGAGCTAACCACAATTTTAGCGTGAAGAGTTCCATCATTTCCATCAGGCTTCCTGTCCTGGTGTGGTTTACGAAGAGCTAGCTGCCTTTTTTGCCAAGGTTATGCCAGAGGCCAGCAAGCTGGGCTGGAGCTTCCTCTTACAGCCTGGTCTGCTAAGTGCCAGACCCAGTGGCTCTGACAGTCGACAAGGGAGCGAAGCCGCCTTTGAAGCTAGGTACATGCCTCCTTGTGATTTATGGCACCCTGCTGAACAACTTGCAAGAAACCAGGCTCCCTGAGAAGTTGAAGGATCTGGTACCATAGGTACCCAGTGAGGCTTGGGGGTGCATGTAATTATGAGTCACTGTGAGGCTGTATCCTCGCCACTGGCCTTGGCAGCGCGCTGACGGACCAGTCCTGTTGCCCCATTCCGAACATCGAGGACCTCTGCTGCGGCCACGCGTCCATGTCTGTGAATGGCTGCCTTTGCGAAGGACATTCAGAAAGAGATTTGTGCAGGCAGTGGTCTGATGCTGAGAGAAGACCTTTCAGCACCACATCTAACACCCAAGTTGGTATGCTGATGGTGGCTCGCCTTTACAGAGGAAGAAGACAATCATTTGCTTTCTTTTAGGTTTGGAATGCTTGTAGAACATCCAGTGTTTGAAAGCAGCATAAGGTTGCTTCGCAGAGTCCCGGCAAAATGATCTGAAGCCAATTGCACATGTTGAATTGTTCGCACTGCGCACACTGCGTGCCCTAGACTACTTTGGTGGGACTTCGCGATAGATTGTTTTGCCTCTGAATCAGCAAGGATGGCTTTCATTATCTTCCTGTTGTTGGCCGAGTTTGATCGAGAAGACGTGGATTCGAAGACCAGGTTCGACCATGTTGTGTTCGCCCCAGAAGTTTATGAAAGCCGAAGTTTTAAAATGGAGAAGAGTGCATTCCAAGGCTGGGCTTTCCATGCTGACGCTTGTTGGTCTTGGCCTGATGAGGGCCTTCCTGAAAGCGCTTCCTGTCTTCGACCTTTGAGCCTTTGAGGTATGTGGATGACAGGTTCATAGATGGGTGCTATGTTTTCACAAAGTGTTGGGCATCCAAGGTATGGCCTTGGAGCTCTGGGCTTCTGCATCCTGATTACATGCCTTGCCATACAATGGTCGATAATGCTGGAAAGCATCCTCCTTCAGAGGGTTCCGAGAATTGGCTTGGATTCCCTTGTGTTGCCTGGTCAAAACTTAGAATGCCCAGTTACTGTACCTTGGGATGTCTTGGCATGTCTTGGGGTTGCGGAAGGTCCTAATGTCCTGCAGCAAGAGCAGACATGGAGAGAATACGAGTTGCGCCTCATGAAGCTTGTAGGATGCGTGCAGACGCAGTGCGATTGCGCGTCTCATGCGTCACGATGTGATGTTTGTAGTGTGTTTGCATGCGGGATCTACAGTTTGCACTGGGTGGCATAGTTCATGGAGAACAAGTACCCTTAGTGACAACATGGAAATTAGCATCATGCTCGCTATCACCATTGCTTTGGACCATCATGATGACCGTGCCATTGTCGCGTTTTTGTTTCAGGGTTCAGGGGTTCAGGGGTTGTCGTCACGACATGGAACACGTCTTGTCATTGGGCGCAGGCCTACATGGAAAGGGGTCTTGTGCGAGAAGTGTATGAGGTCAGGATACTTGGCTGCCGCGACCACGCTTGTGTCCTTTGGAGCTTTGATTGGGAAGGCCTCCCCCCTTTCTTCATGGAATATGATTGCAAGAGGATCCGCGGGTAGCTTGTCGGCCTCATCTTTGCGTCAGGTGAGTCTGCGGCAAATCCTCATTGCTTTGCTCATTGAGTGGCTTAGCTGAAGCTAATTGATGCTGTCACCACTCCTTCATGCTTGCTTGCTCAAGGTTACCATGCTATCGTCTTCACAGAGCTTTGATGCAGACGAACTCCCACCTCCTGCATGCTCCTTGACACAACAACGCGGAAGAAATGACACAAAACGCATGCAGCTTGAGGCTGCGCTCAGCCTGCTTGACATTTCAGCTCGTAAGTGAGCAAATACCCAGCTTTGTCAGAGACAGGGGGCATGTTTTCCATCTCGTCACTAGTGTAACTTCGGAAGCATGTACAGAGAGAAATTGAGTGAGAGTGTGGGCCGAGCATGCGGTGTTCATTTTTAGGATTTGCCTTATTTAGTCAAGTAGTTCTGCCCTGAGCAGTCGAACTTACAAGGTGCGTGACGGTGGCTTGGAGATTCATCTCTTCGGAGCTTTCTTCGGGTACTCAGCAGCACGTGTCCTCGGCCCCTGTGAGATGGACTGGTTGAACCAGAGCAGCTACGTGCTGGACCGACTTCACTGAAGCGAAGAATTGGTCTGACAGTTACGACTTGAATACAGATCTCTCTCTCAATTCTTATTAGCAAAGATGGAGAGAACTGCAGTAAGCTTGAAAAAAGCCACAGGTGATGCAGCCATCTGCCCGCATCCATAACATCATAACATCCTTGCTAAGCGCTTTTCACTTGTTTGCTTGATGGATCTGGGGAATTTTGAACTACGATGGGTTGCAGGGATTGCAGGGGATCTGGTGGTCAAGGATTGGATTCCCGAGCTCATCTTCTCTGACTCTGGAAGCCTAGACGTATCCCTTATCCCTTTGCTACTTGAGGAAGTGCTTAAGACTTCTTGCTTATTGTTCTGTTTTGGCAAGAGCTTCTCAAGGCGGTTTCTCTGATGACATGAACTTGATCCATGCTTGCAATTCTTTCACGGACTGGCAGGATTTGCTGTCGTTGGTGGGCACGCTGTGTTTCTGGGTGTGCTTCCCGAGCATTGATTCTTTGGGAGCTCAAACGCAGCATGCCCATATCACCATGGTTTTGGCATTGCCCCTTGGCTTAGGCAGCTAGAGATGCAGCTGTGTAAGTTATTTGGTTTCGAGCAATGACAATTGCCAGGCTCGGCTCCACCGTTGCAGCTTTTGCCATAGATTCGTTCTGCCATTCGGGGAAGCTGGAAGTTGCAAGCATCCGTGCTGCTGTTCTTGCTGGAGGCGCCCGTGCTCCATATTCTTCATGACATAAGCTCATGTTCTGAAACTTTTCTCCGTCTCAAAACAAGCTTGCCTGCAAGTGTCACCAGGTGTTCCTAAAAAGGGCGGGCAGCGCTGGGGCGTCAAATGGAAACCGCTCGTGCAGCTGACGTAAGCTGCCAGCATAGCCTGAATTACTTCTTAGCAGGCCTAGGGCCTGCAAAGGTTACACAATCCCCGCACATCCCTGCACGCTAGCAATTTCCTGGCCTTGCCAAAAATTATTTTAGGGCTTCCAGGCTCACCCTCCGAATACTGCATAACACTTTGAAAGTGCAGTGCCCACATAACTTAACAGTAAAGCGGGTTTCAATTTGAGACTTGGGCGGCGTGACTATACGGCAGATGGCAGCGAAAGGTATGTTAAGGTAATCAAGCCTTAGAGGCAGCTTTATCACAATGCGTGGGATGTCGATGCCTTTCGTGTCTCTCGGGTTCAGGAAATGTCTGCTCCTGCCTGTCAACCTATGAACTAGGCAGGGTGGTATGAAAGTAACATCTGAAAGCCGTTCGCCATCTGCATTGGTGTTCTATTTCAGAATACCTGCCATGTAGGGGTTGCTCGCGGTGCGGCATTCCTCGCGAGCTTCTGCTGACATACTAAAAGCTGACATGCAGAGCTGCACAGCTTGCGTCGATGAGATGCACGAACTGTCTCCAAAGCGTGTGCATCCAAAACTTTCACGAGGGGCTGTGCTCAGTGCGCTACGTTGGGCTGCTCCTGTACTAACCGACCTAGCTATGAGCTCAGACTTATTACAGGGCATGTAGTGGACAGGGACAGGGGTACTAAACAAATTCTGGTCTGGGGTATAGGCAGCAGTCTGCGAAGGGAATATGTTGCCCATCAGTACTTGAGGCCATACTGCCAAGGAAGTGCTGTTGGGAACAGCGAGCGTTGGAAGTTTGGACCACGGTGACGCAAATGACAAGAGACAAAGAAGAGCAAGCCAAACACCAACCTACCCAGCGGGAGCCGCGTAGGAGTTGAGTGACAGCATTTGGCTTGGGTGGTTTGGGGGTATCCTTGGCACTGAACAGAACCCTCTCCTATGCCTCAGCCCAAACTAATCAAGCGTCATTTCCCAAGTTAATCTCCACTGCTCTTATCTCACAATTTACCAAAGTAACAGTACTCTAGAGTCGTGGGAACTGCCCGCCCTAATTTCGCCTCCGCATGTAACGCCGTGTAAACGCATTACTAGCCTCTGGTGGTTGAGGGATGTCACGCAATATGCTAGGCGCATTGTAAAGCAACCCCAAGCCCCAGAACCCTACAAAACTTTGAAGATCAAACAGCCCTTTACCCTGAACACCCGCACTATGGCACCCCTAAACGGCAAGCCAACCCCAAGAAGAATCCAAAGCCTTCATCAACATAACAACAAAGCCCAAGCCCGAAATTACCCCAAAACTTAAAACCCCACACTCCAAACCTTGTTCGAAACATGCTAGTTTTCGGAGACCTGACCCGTCCCTTGCCCTGTCACCAATTCCAAAACGTGAAGACTGTGCTACTTTGCGACAGAATCTGTCTCTCTCACTTGCCATCCCACGAAAACGACCTGAAAGTGGGAGGGAAAGGTTTCCCTCTCCTCTCACCATCCAGCACGCAAACTTTGACAGGCAGTGTGTATGTATGGCAACAAGCTATATAACATTATTTAATCCAGAATAGATTCTGCTTTCACCATCTCTGGGGGTGGAGGCTGGCGTGCAAGATCGCAACATGTCGATGAGCAACACTTACGGTATTATCCTGGTAGCAGTCACTACATACCCTTCACTTTCCTAAGCCAAACTGAATTTTGCATTGTGTGTTCGTGTTCTGCCAGGCATTGCAACCACGGCAGTGGCAGATGTCATCGAGCCTGGGCTCGCACTGATGGCAGCTCGGCCTCCCTTCTTCTCGTATCTTCAACCCCCTTCTTAGTGAGACTCCCGAAAAACTCGCTTGAACAAATTTGCCTACAAAGGTGGGCTGTGCAAGTGGAACGGCATCTGTGCTTGGGCTTCGATTCTTATCCAACACTTCTGTGGACACTTGCGGTGTTCTTTCCGCACATGGCATTCCCGCGCTCCTTGGTGGGTGATCTAGCTGCAGCTAGTTGGGCAAGCTTGGACTCAGCCGGTGCTTGGCCGAACCAAAGGTTCCTTTATGCTGGGGTACCAATGCTGCAAATTGGCAGCGGCCCTCGTAGTCCAGCTTTCGAGCTTTGCAGCTGTTTGCTGCGACCTGCCTGCATGAGACAGACACTTTTGCTCTCATGCTGATAGCTCTGCAGTCATGAGCAGCTGATTTTATGTCTCAGGACCGCTCTGCTGTCCGGCACTTGCTGTGGTTATTTGTTGCGGCGCGTGCGAACCTCTGAAAGCCAGGACGGGCAGGCCACTGATATGCTGCTTTCCTGAGCCAATTTGCCGGAAAATTCTGTTAGGAGCATGCTTTTTCGGATGAGACCAGCTGGGTGTGTGCCAAGGACCGTCCACAAATGGGTTTGGTGTACGGACGTTTTGCTTGAGCAGTCTGCTAGCCCCGCTAGGCAAGTGGGTGATTTCCAAGTTTTCAACACGTTTTAGCCATGCTGTCCCGTGGGATGAGGTGGAGGTTGAGGTGCAGCGTCGCCCAAAGCTAGGAAACGACTCGGTGATATTCCGTGTGGGGGGTGTCGGCTGGAACTCTGCGCGTGTGCCTGCCAGGATAAAGCGTAAGTTCCTTGCGGTTGTTTGCCTGGAATTCTGCCACTGCAGGAAGGAGGACTATCATAAGTATTCGTGAGTGCTCTACAAGTCTCTCCTTCATACAAGACTCGTGCAATAAAGTCGGATGCTGAGCATGCTGTGGTTTTGTTCTCTCAATGTATGTTGACCAGCCTCTACAGTAGTTGGTGCACGGTTCATATTCCGCCGTGGTACAAACCCTATATGGGGTGTATGCGGGAGTTTTCCTGAGGTGCGGTGGGAATCCCATTAGAGCATACGCTAACCAGAGCATCCATGCCCAAACCATATTCCTGTTCGTGTTCCAAGAGCATACGCTAACCAGAGCATCCATGCCCAAAGCATAATCCCATTCGTGTTCCAAGAGCATCGCAAACCATGATTCCGTTCGTGTTCCAAGTGTATGCGCTAACCAGAGCAGGCATGCCCAAACCATGATTGCGTTCGCTTTCCAAGAGCATTCGCTAACCAGAGCATCCATGCCCAAACCATAATCCTGTTCGTGTTCCAAGAGCATACGCTAACCAGAGCATCCATGCCCAAACCATAATCCCATTCGTGTTGCAAGAGCATGCGCTAACCAGAGCATCCTATCCGCCTCTTGAAGAAAATCAAGAAGCAAAAATCTGCTGTGTAAAGCGATGGAAGTGTGAACTGGAGGAATGCAAGCTCTAATCTTGAGCTTGAGCACCATCATGTCACCCACCAAGTGAAGATGTTCACAAAGTCCATCCGTCCTGGTTCTGTCTCGCTATCGCCAGCGGCAGGGACTCAGGTGCTAGACCGCGCTTGGGGGGCACTCAAGAAGTTTCGCCTCCTCGAATGGGCGTCAAGCGCAAGTCGAAGGGTCCTAGCTAGCAGCATGGACCCAGCTGTAAAGCAAATGCTTTATATGTGGTGCTCGCGAGCTTCTCTCGGCGCACAGTCTCCAAAGGAGTTCTGGCGGGCCCTCGACGGACGGTTCTGACAGTCTGCGAGCACAGCGAAACATTCCGTCCTAACGACGACGTTGTTCGCTTGAGAATTTCCATGTTATCTTCAAAAACCAAAGTAGTTCGTGACGTTCCAAAAGCAGAGTTCGTACTGTATTTTACAATACGAAACGCGTTTTCTGTACCCAAAATGCACTAAAATCGTGCATTTTCCTCAGGTATGCTGAAAGTACTGGTAATTTCCAAGCGAACAGCCTCCTTTCTGCATTTTTTGGACCTCGAATGGCTTTCCTACCACGGCGGAATATGAACCGTGGACGTAGTTTGGGCTGCATCAGTTACTGCAAGTCAGTACCAAATATACCATGCAAGCCTGCGAGAATCCGAGAAGTTTGAGAGATTGATTATCCTGCGGAGGCTCGATTTTTCCACTTGTAGTCTTGCAGTAAGGTATTGATTTCTTGTTGTGGCTTCACTGCGCTCTCTACTTTAGTCATGTTCCATGATAGAAATAGATTTCATTACATTGCGGACAGCTTTGAGAGAACAGGCCAATCGTAGTGGGAGGTGATTTCACTTTTGGTGGTGGCCATCATGCTAATGAAGCAAGTGTCGAGTGGCTTCTAGTTCCGCTGTTTAGGAGGATTGCGGACAGAAAGGCCAAGGCAATATGCAATTCTCGTGATTCCGTTCGTAATCCAGAGCTTCGGGGAGCATTACAATGCCAGGAAAAGCTTGTCAGCAAGGCGACCGGTAGGAGCGGAGGCCTTGAGACAACAGTCGCGGAGGTGGCCGCTACTGTGGCGGAGCGTGTCTTGAAATTTGTTTGCGCGTTTCGTAATGGCCGAGGATCGTGCCTGGGGTTCCAATGCTGCAGAGAGGTTGTCTGTTTGTTTGGCTGTCCGAGTGTGCGTTCCAAACCCCAAAGCTTGCCAGACTGATTCGGTTTCGCGGGTATGATGAGTCACCAGTGGCTTGGCGTTTGCAGTGGCATCTTCAGGCAGCTTGGGAGCGCACGGCAGTGGCGGAGGGTGATGACAACAATTCTATTTGCGAAGTTTGCTTTGTGTAAGTGATTTCGCGCCTGCAGATGAAGCGTTTCCGGGCTCTGCATTAGTGCGCCTTTTCTCCGGTGACAGGAATATCAAAGGTAAGGACTGCCAGCAAGCTGGGCTAAGCATGCATGTTCTCCAAATTGCTTGCGAGGTGCTTTGAATGTGCCGTGAGCTGCCGAAACTCGGCCATGCGGATAGGGCAGCCGGATATCACTACCACAGCTGCCAAAATGAGTTGCCTCGAACAACATTGCTGATGGATTTGAGCACCATGCCGATCACTGAGTGGCTGCACATGTATGGATGCTATGGTGTGAATTTATGCGATGCCTGTGAGGTGATTGTTTTGCAATGGTTTGCAGTGCCAGTATGCTGAAACCATTTGCATTCGATGTGTATGCGTGCGTGTTGTCCAGTTTTCCACCGCCCAGTTGATCAGATGTCAGGCGTCATATTTGGCCATGCCATTTCAGCACGGAGCGCTTAACGTGCAGGTACATGGTATCAATGTTGTGGTTGCTTGGTACAGGTAGGTGCTAGTAAGTAACTGAGGGACAAGACCGACGTCCCAGATTTCAGGAATCGGTGACACGCATGCTGGTTGCTACTTGCGTTTGCAATCGCCAGCGTCTAGGCGGCAACACAAAATCAGATCACTTGTAGGACGTGCCACGTGGATCGGTGAATTTGTGATGGGAATGCTGAGTGCTGGTGCGCTCAGCAACCAGCAATGTTGTACATAGAATCAAGCATAGCTTCACAAGTAAGCTTTACTGGCTTTGGAGTTGGAACTACTCGTCTGGCTCTCAAGATGAGCGGCCAGGTTTACCTTTCAATTCCTTCGCCTGCTTAGAAATTGCCTCAAAGCTTTGCCTAGCCCAGAGACATGTGTCCACGGTTTCTCAATCACTACGCAAATGGGGGATCCCTTGAAGTACATTTCAGGTGTTGAGCCGCTTGTTGCAGGCTTGTGCCAACAATGGGATAAGGTTTTTCTTGAGCAGGTCATTGCACCGCTGGTCCCATGCCACTGGCAACAGCAACAGATCAGCAAGGTATTAGAGGCAGCGTAGAGGACTACAGGACCTGGCAGTGCTGAATTATGATAAACAGGTAGATCTTCGAGGGACTTGGGGATAGACATCCCATCACGAAATCAAGTTCTGCTTCCAGGCAGTTCTGCAAATTTCTATCCTTGAAAGCCCTTTGATATTTGGGAGCTGTCTCTCAAGCACTGGGGAGGAAGCCTTTGCAAAATGGGTTTAGGGTTTGTTTAGGGAACAATTGTACTATGTGGGGAAGATTTCTTGTTAGGGCGGTGGGGGGGGTCTCATTGAGGCCCGTTTCAAAAGGACAGTAGACTACAGAAGACATTGGGATCAATGTTTTCCGTGCTAGTTTGGGGCAGCGCAGCATCTACTGTGACTCTTACAGATGTAGGTTGCCCATGTAAATCTTGAGCAAGCAAAAAGGGTTGAGACTCTGACTGACTGTTGTGCCCGCGCTGCAGCCAATTCTTTAATCAATGCTCAAGCTTCTTCAGGGAAACATCTTCTCTAAGTGCCTGCGGGCCTTCAAGGCTTCACACCTTGACCTCAAAGTCTGAAGATGAAACATGGCCCCATTTCAATGATCCCTATGTCCTCATACAAGTGCGCTATATATCCTCACATAATCCCTTTCTTCCCCTACAGACTGCGTATACAACCCTAAACCTTTCTCATCCCTCTTCCATTTCATTTGCCATCTTCTTGTCCCTTACAACTTGGTTATAACGCCCAATTTCCCTGAAAGCCCCTAAACCCTGAACCCTAGAAAAAAAAACTCTAAACGTAACGTTGTGAGGTGGAGTTACGAGGGCCCTTGCACGGTGTGCAGGCATAAAAGTTGAGGGGTTGTAAAAAACCTCAACCGTAAACCCTAAACCAAAATCCATAAACCCTAAACCCTAAGCCGTGCAAATCCTTAAAACAACTCTGAATCATCCTTCTCGGGGCATCCAAGCGAAGTGGACCGCCACAGCCTCGATGAATCTTGATAGAGACACTTGGTGCAAAAATGGTTTAATGATTAGGGCTTAGGGATTAGGGTTTAGGGATGTTTAGGGGTTATGGTTTAGGGATTAGGGATAAGGGTTTAGGGATTAAGGTTTAGGGATTCGGGTTTAGGGACTAAGGATGAAGGTTTAAGGTTCGTGGATTAGGGAGTAGGGTTTAGAGGACAGCGCTTATGGTCATGTAGGGGTTCCGTAGAGGCTGTATAGGTATATACCGCCTAGTAGGGATTAAATGAAAGTACATAGACATCATATTAGATATTGGGAGCCTTTCAAGGGACCATATTAGGGCCCATAGGACTTAGTATTCTAAGCTCCCCTCCTACTTACATTTAACGCCGCCACCCATAGTGATAGTAACCAGGGCAACGTAATATTATTATACAATAGAGGAAAAATTTCTAGCAGGAGTGGGGGCGAGGGGTCTATTATGAAGGGGATGTGATTAGTAGCCTAGTGATACAAGGGAAAAACGACGACCTCACGCGACTTCACCTTGAATTGAGGCTTTTGTTGTATACGAGCACCAAAGTTGCTTAACTTAAGGATCTGAATTTATTCGAATAGATGGCCAGGTCATAGAGTTTCTAATCTTATTAAGATTTTTCAGAAACAATTACAGAATATCGTGATGCAATAGTAGGGAGAACTACATCAATGGAACAGTAATACTCACAGTGATGGTGCTGAAGGCCTTGGTCAACTTTTAGGCTTCTTTTTCAGGGCACCGGGGGGATACAACCGGGCTTACACGGGGTTTTAGACGGTTCGGGAGTTAGTAAAATGTAGCATCACACAAAGAGAATGCAGTCATGAAAGAATCTGGGATGGCACATAGTGAAAGTCATGAATGTTAGTACCAGAAATAATCATGGCAGCGATGTTTTTGATTGATAGGAACGCTTGGTGAATGAGGAAATTTTTGATGGGGGTTCTGCCGGTGCGCTTATGTGTTATTATAGGCCTATAGAGATGTTTCAGGTTAGGTTTAGGATTTAAACCGGGGATATCGCAATAATGGAGAACCTAATGAAAGTGCAAATGGATACTGAACACTGGGGGGGGGGGGTGGGGCGGGGCAGAGGGGGTCCAAGGAGTGCTGGCAAGACTTGCTGCAACTTGAACAAAAATAGCAATAAGGTAAGAGTGGGTGTCATAATTCTTGTGACAATAGCATTAGTAGTAGTAATACTAGTAGTCGTAGTAGTAGTAGTAGTAGCAGTCGTCGTAGTAGTAGTAGTAGTAGTAGTGGTGGTGGTAGTAGTAGTAGTAGCAGGAGGAGTAGTAGTAGGAGTAGTAGCCGTGGTAAGCCATCTAACAACCCCAGTTTTTCCCCATGACTTATCTGCTAGAGACATCTAGACACAGCAAATCAAAAAGTAGATTCCTGCATGAAGGCTCGTGGAACTCGCCTCGCCCAAGAGTAACAATCCTCTCCTCCGAATGTTAACCCCCCCCCCCTTGATATTAGATACTCCCATTATATCGTATATGAAAAAATATTGGAAGTATTTAATGCTAGGGTGGTGTTTAATTGGGGGACGGGATTATAAGGTACCATGTTGGGGGTGCTTCTTTCCAGGTCCTTCCAGACAGGTGGATAATGGGGTGCAACTTAGCGCCAATCCTAAATGATCATGAATCAAATTAACCAAATAAAGAACATGGAAAAGGAAATGGACATTGGGGTTATGCAGGAGTTTCTAGGACATGGTGCAACTTGAAGCTAGTATTTGTGATAGTGGTATTACTTGGTGCATTTTACGGGCTTTTGGGCAGCCCCTTATAAGGGGTGATAGAGACTATGTATGGATGTGTCAGATTAGCAATTTAGGGCTCCAGGTGCAACTTTAGAAGGGTGTTGGGATGCAGGTGCAACGTTATGTGAGCTACAGTCTAAACTCCTAATATCCCCCTTAATAACCTCTACAATAGTTTCCATGTTACACACCCTTTATAAGGAGTTTAGACTCTAGCTCATGTGGGCTCAGGATTACGATGCAATTTTATAATACTTTTCAAAGCTTGGGTTGTGGGTCCAGGATTATGTGCGGAGTTTACTTGGGCCCTGCAGAACGCACCTTTTTGGGGTTGTCACAGTAATAGGAATTAGTGTAGAGCATTCGTATCCTCAGCAGAATCGTTTTTCAACGACAGCAGATCTTCAGGTTCTTTGGGGTCCCTAATTGGCTCGCGACGTTGTGCTTACTGTAACAGGGTAGCACGGTGCTTAGCGGTGGGACGTCAAGGAATGTTTTTTGATTCTCTGCAGCTAGTGCAACAAATCAATCGTTCTTGAGTGTTGCAAAAAGGGAGACTACGGAAATCCTTCCTTAATTTTGTTTCCTAGGCAATTGCGCGAAGAAGCCTCATTCGATATCGGAGAAGTCCGGAGGTTTGTTATGTCTGCAAGCTGACCAGGCGAGTCTGCTGCTGCGACAGGGCATTGATTCTGGCTACTTGGCTTACTGGTTGGAGAAAGACAGTTGACCCAGATGCTTTGCAACAGATTGGAGGACAGATTACGTGTTATGCTTGACTTGGTTGCACCACATTGCCTGCCAAGATCTTCTGGCCAAAGCTTCCGGACAGGCGCGAGAAGCACACCTGCCTGCATGGAGCTAGATGATGTAAACTCTTCAACATGCTAGTCTGACGGCAGTTGTGTTTTTTTGAGTAGCTTGTGTAAGCAGAGCTGCCTGACAAATTCAGGACAGCCCTGCCTCAGCGCGTGCTTCAGCAGCTGGGCCAATGCCTCCGCCCCACAGCGCTGTGCCATTTACCAGGCGCCATGACAGTAACCAGTCATGTAGTAGTTACAGTACCATGCATGGGAGCCTTGCCTTGATCATTTCACAGCAAGATCAAACCATCCTAGGCAGAGTGTCAGCTTCTGCCTTGCGTTGGAAGAACTTAGCTTGCCGTCAAATCCTGGAGTTGTGGGACTTCCCCTGCCTGTTCAGAAAAAATGAAGCTGATGCAGCTGGTGGGCAACGTTAAGAGTTTTTTTCTCAGCGTCTTGCTTATCTCGTGTTCCTGGGTCAAGATGATGTCATCAGCAGAGGCTTGCGCCAGCAGTTATATTGAGCTGGAGCTGCCAATTCTACTAACATGAAAGGCTCGTGAGTATGCTGTGGTTCGTCCTACGTTACTGTAAACGGTTGACGTCCTTGGCTTAGCGATCAGGCTTTGCGGCTTGAAGAGATTCAGGGAGGTGGGTGATGGATACGTGCATTGGATTTGTGTGGAAAAGTTCGGATGTGCAAACCACGACTGAACGGATGACAGTTCCATACAGGATTTGGAATTGCATCCTCACAGATGCACGCTTGCGTCCTGGAGCCGGTATGATTTTGGACCTTGACCTGAGCTTCATCTCAAATTAATGATCATGACCTCAGTTGTGTGTTCAGCGTGCCGCTAGGCTGATAACGGCAGCCGTTCCGCAACTTGCAGCCGGCTGGTCTTCAACGGTTGCACCACGCAGATCTTCCGACTCCCCTGCGAAGGGCTCTCTGCTTGCGCAGCAGTCGACACGACGAAGCCCTAGCAGTGAAACGACAAGGTGGGTCTTGGAACCCACAACCTTAAAGCCAGATCTATCGAATGGAACCACTGGAACCACATCCCAACCTGA